CTTCAACAGGATTATATGATAAATATTATTTCGTACTCATACATTACTAATTTGTTATTACAATTAGTGAGGAAGATAACTCTTTTATTATGTTTAATTAATATATTAGGTGAAAAACAGTGAGAAATATAATTTTCTTATTGGTTTCATTCTTATCAAAAGGGGTGAGATTTGATAAGAAACAAACTGATTAGTTGTGCATTTTTCATGATTACCAAGATTACTAATTAAAATACAAATGAAGAAAAATAAATTTCACTCGTATCTTTATATCACATTCTTTATTTTTCTTCATCCAAACATAATAATGAGAAGAAAAAAAAACAATTTCTTTTTCTCTTCTCACTTAAATGATAGATTACAATTATTTTTTCCCTTTACTTTTCTCATCCACCGATCCAAACAAAGTGTTAGAGTTGATATTCCTTCATCAATTTTCTATTAATGCTATGTTTCTTCTCGTATAATAATAATAATATTAATAAATTTCAACCTTATCATATATTAATTTGATAATTGTAACTGCATGATTTATCACATTTATCTACGAAAAACTGGTAGTTTATTTTCATTTATTTTTCTGCATACAAACGTGGTAAATAAAGTGATTACAATTATCGGACCAATATAATTTTCTATGCATGATTTATAATAAAAGAAATTTATAAAATGAATAGTTCAAATTATTAAAGTATGACTCATAATAAGTTCACGATGTCATATTAGACAGTCCAATCCACAACAGTAGACTAGAGAGAAGTTCTTCTCCTTCTTAAATCCTTATCTATGTCCTAATGCATTTTCAATTATAAAATTATGTCTCAATATTCTAGTATTTTAAGATTCTCACATTATTTTAAGCTTAAAATATCACTTTTAGTGTTCTTCTTATATGGATGACCAAGTAAAGCATCATACATAAATCTTAAGATTGTGATTGGATCATGGATCTAAGTAATAATTTGAAAAGAAAAAAGAAAATATAAGAGAAATGTTTAAATTCATTGTCTAGTTATTTCCATGGATCATGCAGTTAAATCACAAAAGGAAGGAAAAATAAATAAATAAATAAATAAGAAAAGAGAGAGAGTAATTGTGATGCCATGAACTAGTGTTGCTCAATCACATTCTGCACATGACCTAACCACATTGCCATGAAGTATGCAACTGGTGGTTCAACTTTTTCTCAGCATTAAATTCTCCTAAACATAATTTCCACTTGTGAAGTGAGATAACTCTTCCATTGTTTTGGTGCAACCCTTAAAAAGTTTTGAAAATTTTATTATTTTTTTTATCTATTATATATATTAATAAAGTCTACACTTGAGTTATCTAAGTAAAGATTGTCACTTTTTTTGATTTTTCAATAATACCTTTCGTATTAATAACTATTACATCCAATAACTACTTCGTCAAACTATCTAAAACTATTATTTTATTTTTATTATTCACTAAATCACACCTTAATTAACAAACCATTCAAAGATTTATCTGTGAAATTACAAACATATCATGTTTACATCCACCACTACTAGTGTACATAGAAGTTGCAAATATGTGGATGTAGCCAAATCATTTTCTCCAATTAATTCAATAACTTATTCTTCTAGGCTGGTGATAGCAAAATTAATCAAACATATTACAAGTTTAGAGTTGTTTTAATCCTTAGTAAGTCAAGATTTTTTTATTTTTAAGTCCTTTTTAAGGCAATTAAAAAGTTTAGGTAATATCTAACATTTTTCAAATTTTCTAATGTTTTGCCATATTTGAACAAATTCGGTTACAATATGAATTTCGATAGGTTCTCTTTCTTTTTAATCAAAATTTTGCCAAATTGCTAATGAATTAGTGGATGTATAATACTACTTTTTGCCATCGTCGTTTTTGTAACAACAAGGTATTTCAACTTATGGTTGAATAAATTTTTGTTTCTTTTAAATTTATTATGTCAAAATTCCATTGCTCAAACCAAAAATAAAAAATATAGACTTATTTATTTAACATATTTCATGAATTTGAGAAACTTGATTTAAAATTTTAAAAAAAAAATCATAAATGAAAAATACAAAAATTAATTACAAATCAATAAAATGCAAATTCATAGGTGCTCAGTACAACAACAATGCTAGGGATACTAACAATCTTACTAACACACTCACAAGTTTTTATAAGATCAACCATCACTTGATATAAGACTCACATCAACTTGTGAGTGTGTCAGTAAGATTGTTAGTATCCCTAATATTTTTCTCAGTACAAAGGAGAACTATTTTTAACATTATTAATTTGCAATTAATTTTGTCATTTATTATCTTATCACATTTGATTTTTCTTTAAGATTATTAATTTAATTATACAAACCACTAGCTGTATATGTCAAACCTGTGTGCTTTGTCTAAACCAAAAATAAAAAATATAGTTCCAAACTTATTTATTTAACATATTTCATGAATTTGAGAAACTTGATTTAAAATTTTAAAAAAAAAATCATAAATGAAAAATACAAAAATTAATTACAAATCAATAAAATGCAAATTCATAGGTGCTCAGTACAACAACAATGCTAGGGATACTAACAATCTTACTAACACACTCACAAGTTTTTATAAGATCAACCATCACTTGATATGAGACCCACATCAACTTATGAGTGTGTCAGTAAGATTGTTAGTATCCCTAATATTTTTCTCAATACAAAGGAGAACTATTTTTAACATTAGTAATTTGCAATTAATTTTGTCATTTATTATCTGATCACATTTGATTTTTCTTTAAGATTATTAATTTAATTATACAAACCACTAGTTGTATATGTCAAACCTGTGTGCTTTGTCTAGTGTATTTTATTTTAATCATATGTAAGTCGGAAAACAAATTTGTATTTACAAACACTTATTCAAATGTCATACTTATGGCTCGGTTTGGGATACGTGGTTTTGGCTAAAATAATTAAAATTATTATTAATGGGTTACTTTTTCTCTTACAACCATTTATTCAATTACAAATAAAAAATAAAAAAAATAGAAATCATCTTTTTTCATCTCATAAAATAGTAAAAAAATCACTAAAATAGTCAAATTTCCAAATGAGAATATCTCATTTACTAATAGGGAAATGTTTCGTAGCTCGAAACATTTTGCCCCGAATGGCTCGAGGGAGAAGACGTAGAGAGAAGCAGAGGGAGAGAAAGAGAGAAGCAGAGGGAGAGGGAGAGAAAGAGAGAAGCAGAGGGAAAAGCTTCTTCTTCTTATTTTTTTCTTTTTCTTTTTTTTTTAAAAAAGTAAAAATTTGTAGTAATCTGGGTATTGTTTGAATCGATTACTAGTAAGGTCGTGTTGGGTTTGAAGATCATCGATATGGGTAAGAAGAAGACAGCGAAGAAAACGAAGGAGGTATCAGTGGCAATAGCAGAATCGGCATCAATAGGTTCATCAGAAGCCCAACAACAGACGCCTAGGAAAAGGGGTAGGCCTCGGAAAATCGTTGAGAAAACAGAGAGTGCTTTTTTCTTCTGAAAAAAAAAAAAAAATCGAGCCATTCAGACTCCCCGTTTTCGAGCTACGTAGCACGATCCTTACTAATATTCCGTTTGTTTGAGTGGAAGATATTTATAAAAAAATATTTATAATATTTTTTAGTGTTTGATATAATAAAAAATAAAAATCAACAGAAAATATTTTTTTTATAATTAGTAAAAAATAAGTGCTTGTTTGACATGTGCTAAAATATATAACACATGCTATTTTAACACATTATCCTATTTAGGTCACAATCATCCTATTTGGGTCACATCACCTCTCTACTACATTACTTTAAACCCAACTCATATTTCACATTTGTCATAAAAAATCAAAAAGTATACTAATTTAGCACTTCTCAAACAACCCCAAGTCCATTTGAGTAAAAATATTTTTCACTTAAGCTAAAAACATTTTTTAAACTAAATTTTTATCAATATTATCACACTTTTACCACCACTCTCACCTCCACCACAACACCACCATCACCACAGCCTTGCCACCATCATTGTTGCCATCTCTATCTCCACTTTCATCCCACTCCCACTATCAAAAATATAGAAGAATATGTTTTTTGAAAAATATTTTCAATTCAAACAAACGGAGTGTAAATCAATCCTCAATCTTACTAAGATCCCATTTGGGAATTTGGCTATTTTAATTGATTTTTTATTTATTTTGTTATTTTAACTTGTCCAAAAAAGTTGTGTTTGGGATGATAATTAGCTTTTTTTTTGTAATTGATTTGATAATTATGAGATAAAAAGTAAAATAATTATAATTTGTTTTATTTTATTAATTATTTTAATCTATTTTATTTTTATTGACTATTTTAATCCAAAAAAACTAAATCCCAAACATGGGCTAAGATCACTTCATGCATGCAGCCAATAATACATGATTATCACTCAATTTTTCTCTTAAAAAACAAAAGATTTTTGATGGTAAATTAAATAAAATGTTGAATACCATTTAATTTCCTAATTAGTATAAAATAATAAATAAATATAAATAAAATCAAGAGCAGATAGCCTCCGTTTGGAAAGCGGGTAGACTTTTTGACTTTTTAACTATTTTAATATAAACTAAAAAGCTTAACTTGAGAAGGATTTTTGACTTTTTTTTAAAAAAAATATAATAATTATAAATTAAATGTGATAATTTTATCTTATTAAATTAAAATAACTTATTTTATCTCTTATGACTCTGTTAACTTAAATCTAACTTCGCAAACGGGAGGCATAGAATCTTATACATCCACATCTCCAAATCCTAAACAAAAAAACACTTGGCCCAAGTGACTATTCCGTAAATACCAACAACCTCAGCCCTCTCTCCAGCGCAACACTGAGAGCTTCTATTTACACCCATAATATACACTTTTTACGCATTTCCTCGCTACATTTTTTACACACTCCTTTCCTTCTTTCGTTAAGGGTGTGTATAACGAGGATTTAGTGTGGGTAAATAGGAGCTCCCCGCAACACTCATATATAAACCCAATCACCCACACACACACCTCCACAAAGATTCACAAACAAACAGAGATTACTTTCTCTCTCTACAAATCGCCATGAAAGACCCCTTTCTCTCTCGTCGCCGGCGACCCAACCACCCCAAGAAACTCAAGCTCGTCTGCAGCTTCAACGGCACATTCCTTCCCCGACCTCCCTCCGGCAACCTCCGCTACACCGGCGGCGAGACCCGGATCGTCTCGGTGGACCGAAACATCGGCTTTTCAAGGCTCCGATCGAAGATTTCGGATCTTAGCAATGGCCTCCTCTCGTTCTCTCTCAAATACCAACTCCCAATCAACGACGATGAAGCCCATCTTGTGTTGATCACTTCGGACGACGACGTTCGGTGCATGATCGATGAGTTTGACAAGCTCGAATCGCTCGGTAAGCCCTCTAGGCTCTGGATTTTTGTTTGTAATAATGACAATGGCTGTGTTTATAGACATGAAAACTGTGTTGAAACTGAGAATTTGAATGATGGGTCTGGGGTTTCTTGTATAAATTGTAATGTGTTTGGTGGTTTGAAGAGTGTGAGTGATCGTTTTGTGAATGGTGATGGGTTTGAGAGTCGAAATTTGACAATGCAGAGTACTGGTAAAGTTGAGAATGGTGTTTGGTGTCAATGTAGTGATGATTCATTGAGAAAAATGGTTCTGAAACCAGGGTTGTTACCGAAGGAATCGGCTTTTCGTGGCGGTTTAGGGTTAGATTTTGATCAAACTGAGATAGAATTTGCAAGTGGAAACCAAAAATTTAATCAACCCTTCAAAGACTTAACCTCTGAACCACAAGGTCCTTTGATCTATGAAACCAGAGACTTGATATTTGTGAACAACCCATATTGGGCAAACACTTTAGATTATGAATTTAAGGACGGTCAGTTTCAAAGAAGTGAAAGTTTGGGTATCAATTCCTTGCCAGTGTCTCATTCTCATCCCTTGAATCCAAGGGATGGGAATCTTTGTGTCGAAACGAATAGCTTTAGGCAGCGTTTAACAAATAGGCCTGGTCTGATTTCAAGTAACAGATCTCCAAATGGTGTTGGAGGTTTAAATATGGATTTGATACCATGCTCTGGTGCTGAGCTGAGAAATTTGGATAGGGAAAACATCACGCCGCGGTCTGGAAACTGTGATTGGGTGAATACCAGTTTTGCGCCACTTTCTTGCAGCAATCAATTGGTTGCAAGCGTCTACCCAACCAAGTCTTCGTATTGCGGTAGGGTGTGGGGTGGTTTTCATAATGGCATTCGCAACCATCGATTTGCTGCAAATGATATGAGAAACCAGAGGACTTGTTCTTACCACGTTCGTAACCATCGGATTGGGCTCACTGAGATGGGGAGTCATCGGAATGTTAGATTGGAAGGAAGGCCTTGGGTTGGAAAATTCTACCCTAGGCTTAGGTCTAGTTCATACATCTCAAAACAAGGCCAGGTTATGAGATTTAACTGTCCTAGTTTGTGGAAGCCTTGGTGTGGTTATCATGATCATACCCCCGAAGAAATTGGAAGGATGATGGATTCTGGGCTGAATGACCAAACATACTCTTTCAATCAACCTTATAAAGAAAACTTCACTGAAAAGAGTGGTTATGGAGTTCCACAACCACAAGCGCCAAATCCTAATCAATGTTGTTTTGCTTACAATGGAATGGGTGGCCAATCTTTGTTGCCAACTAATATTACCAAAAACCCATTGACAAGCACGAGGGCTATGGATTCCTGGGAGGATCTGTTAAATGGTTCCAATGGCGACAAAAAAGAAGTTCCATCTCCAAATCCTTGCAAAAATTTACATAGAGTTGCCATGAGTAGCCAGCCAAGTTGTGATTTCAAAAATGAATCACTGCTCGTGGAGCCAATAGAGACTGACAACATCTCTGGTTCTCCAAAAAATTGGGGTTTTAGAAATGGAACCGAATTGGAATGCAATGGTAAGTCGTCGAAGATAGAACCAAGTGTTAAGTCATTAAGCAACCATCATAGTAGTGCTCGTGCTATACAAGCGGGACTTGCATCTTTGGTGGATCTTTCTTTGTGTAATCTTTGCTTGTCGTCATCAAAAGAAGTTGAACCCCCAGCCCATTCTTCTCCAACTTGCAATGATTCCAAAGCCTTGGTGAAGCCTCAATCAAATCCCCTAGATCTCATGGATGAAGAAAACCTTAGCTCAGGTCCTCAAGTTGACACATCAAATGGAGTTGTGTCTGAATCTTCTTCGCAAAATGCAGCCAAATTGGAAAATGTCAATGAACAAAAAGAAGAGATGTGGAGGGACCATCCATCCAGTTTAAGCAATGAAAAGGTATAGCCTAAAAGAAATTTTGTTTCCACTATCTGAATTAAGAAAAAGAAAACAATGACAAAAGCATGATTGGCAGCTAACTAATGACTATTTTCTTGCAGGCTGACAAAGAATCTCATAAATGCTCCAAGGAAAATGGAAGCATCCCTACTGACCTCATATTTTATACTCATCTAGCTAGCAGAGAGCTGCAGGTAATTCTCAAATTAATATGAACATTTTATTCTTTTAACTATATTTGAGGTAGAAAGTGCTTGTTTCTGCTTCATTTTGAAGCTTTTTTTTTTTTTTGTTTTTTTTTCTTATTCCTGCAGACTATAGAAAATTCTGACCTCGAATATATTAAAGAATTGGGCTCGGGTACATATGGAACTGTTTTCTATGGAAAATGGAAGGGGTGTGATGTTGCCATTAAAAAGTTAAAGCCCAGCTGCTTCACTGATGGTGCACCGGAGCATGATCGATTGGTAATTATTGACACTTTCCTGGATTTGTGGTTAGGAATACATTATTTGATCAAGTTTCATGGAAAAATGGTTTTCTATTCGGATACTTGAACCAATTTATGGTTCATCTATCTATTGTTGACTAGTGGTGGGCCAGGATGTAATTAAAATTATATTTTGTCAATTCTAACAGCCTAAGTTGTTTTTTGTCATGTTTACAAATGACCATGTGTTTAAATTTCATTAAAGTAGTGACATACAAACAAAATTTGTATATATAATGATGTGGCTGCATTGGGACTTATCATTTTAAAACAAAGTGCCCATTTAGCTGACATTTAATTACAGAAAATGCCACCACCATATCATTTTGGCGTCAAATTCTATATAAATATTTTGTATGAATAGCATTTTACATTTCATTATCAGATGGTCACTTTAGTGGAAACCACCTTTCCGATAATGGGGGTTAGTCTGCGTACATCTTGCCCTGCCAAACCCAGCTTTATTGGGAGCCTTGTGCACTGGGTCGCCTGTTTGTTTATGGACACCCACTTTAAAATTATTCTATCACCTCATGTCTTTGTTAACTTGGTGGCCCTCAAAGTCTTAAATTGAGAAATATATGCCTGCATGATTCCCCGAGTGATTGTTATTTTTTATTTTCACTTGTGTGCAGGTTGCAGACTACTGGAAGGAAGCTCACATACTAGGACAGCTTCACCATCCACATATTGTGGCATTCTATGGTGTAGTTATGGACGGGCCTGTTACAAATTTGGCTACAGTGACAGAGTACATGGTGAATGGCTCCCTCAAACAAGTTTTGCAGAGAAAAGATAGGTAAAGACATTTTTCAAATTATGTTTGTAGCAAGAGCTAAATGTTTTGTTTGTTAGTTTACTTTATTTCTTTGGATATATTTTCTAATTTATATATGTGAAAATGGCATGTCTGTTCTCTGTTGTTCGTTTTGTGTACTATCATTAATTAATACCATACATATAGTGTCAAGACAAAAGGGCATATTTAAGAAATTTTTGAGTTTCAAATAGCATTTTCAATTGATAGCATACATAACGGACCTTTTTAAATTTTCAGACGGTACTTTTTATTTGAAAATTGTGGCCTTTAATGTGTGTTGAATATTAGGGCTTTGTCGTGCTGTGAGATAGATGGAATTGAATTGGGAAAAAATAAAAAAAATGAAAGTTATGGAAGAAATTTGCTTGTGTAGGCAGGGATTTGATATTTTCTGAATCCTCATGCAAGGAATTACAAAATAAATTATTTACAGAAAGATGTTACTAGGAATATCGGGTCTATGATTCACAAAAAATTTTGCCCGTCTTTTGAAATTGACCTTCCCATAGGGTGGGGAAATTTATGCACATTTTAGCCTCAACCCTTTATTGGTGAGAACAAAAGCAATTTTCTGTTAGATTTCAGATGTAAATGATGTATATATTTTTGTAGCTCACAGATAGAAACTGTAGTTGGTTCTCAACTTCTTCATAATTTAAGTTATGCACCACAGTTGCATCTCATAAAATAGAAAAAAAATTCATAGATTATTCATGTTATGAGTTTCATATGTCGTATAGTTAATACCCATACAGGCTTTAGTTTTCACCGACAATGTGTTCATATCAATTTGTAGAACTATCGATCGACGGAAAAGGTTGATTATAGCAATGGATGCGGCCTTTGGTATGGAATATCTGCATGAGAAGAATATCGTCCATTTTGATCTGAAGTCTCATAACTTCCTTGTGAACATGAGGGATCCTCAGCGACCAGTGTGCAAGGTAGTCAACCTTATTTTCATGGTTAAATCTGAATTTTAGAAAATTACAAAAAAAAAAATAATAAAAAAAAAAAGAAAAGGTTTTAAACTTAAGCAATTAGTTTCAACGATTCATTAATTTTGACTAAGATCTTATATTTGCCCTTTTATAGATATATAAATAGAGAAAGAAAAAGTAGGTCGATGGGGGAAATCCTAATCCCGAACCCAAGAACTAGGAATAAAAAAATAAACTAAAAAATGGGAAAAGCCACAAAAACCGTAAGAGCGAAGTGAATTTCAGATCATATTGATTAGTACAAAACAGTAGGTAATGTAAATCATTTATTTTATAGTCTTCAATCATAAATGTTTTCATATAACATTCTTTTAAATATGTTCCTTTTCAGATTGGTGACTTAGGTTTATCAAAAATTAAGCAGAGGACACTGGTCTCTGGTGGAGTTCGTGGAACTATACCATGGATGGCTCCAGAGCTACTGAACAGTAAGAAAAACATGGTAACAGAGAAGGTACGATAATCATCTTTATGTGTCAGTGAATATGATACAATTTGTACTTTCATTTGCGCCACTCTTACAATTTCTCCGGTGCTCAACTTCAGGTTGATGTGTACTCATTTGGAATAGTCATGTGGGAGCTTTTGACAGGGGAAGAACCTTACGGAAATATGCGATCAGAGGAAATAATAGGTAAATGTTTCAAATTGACAAGACTTGCAGCATGCGGATAATTTTAGATTTTTGTTTGATGGTGGATACTCGGCATAGTAGTTAGTTAATACATATAGGGCAGTGTTAAAATCATCCTTTGCTTTTCATGCCTCATAATTTAGGGGTTGTTTGGGATGTCCTAAATAAGTGTTTGGACTAAAAAATTGAGGTTGAAAATATGGATGTTTGGATTAACTTTTTGACTTTTTATGGAAAAATGTATAATAAAAAATTATAAAAATTGATTTGTAGGGAAAAATTCGAATTGGGAGTTGTGCAGCCGTAATTGTTGACTTTTGGTGAATAGTGTTAACTTTTTAACTTTTTGAGTAATTTTTTGACTTTTTGACTTTTTTACAAGTTCCCAAACTTAACCTTAGTCTCTTGAAAGACATGATTGGTTGCTAAATTTTATTCAGAGCTACAGATTTTCATTGAAAGGCATGTGTGGTATAATTGCTTACTAAATTAATTGTGTTCTTGGGCTTTTGGTCCTTGTATATTGTTTCATTCTTTCAATCTTCAAATCAGTTCGTGTTCTTTGCCATCATTTTTTGCATGCATGTTATTTGTTACGACTTCCATCTTCTTCTTTTTTTTAAAAAAAAAAAAAATTGGAAACGAAAACTTATTTGGCATGTTTTTTTATGTTTTCATAAAAGTGGAATTGGTTCCAATATTTTCAAAATTTTTGAAAATGAAAAAAGAAAAAAAGCAAGTGTTTTCTTTTGTTTTCGTAACTGGTTTACATTCTCTCCAGTCACCACCCAGCGCATCCAGTCACCACCTACCCCCTCCAGTCATCTCCACTCCCGGTGACCTCCAGCGACCCTTAAGCCACCTTCCGGTGACACTATGTCCGCCAACTCCGGCAGCCATTTTTGACTACCCCCACCGCTGGCCGTCATGTCTGGCAACTCATCAAATATGTTTTTTTGTTTTCAAAACATTTGTGTACACAAATTTTTTTTGTTTTGGTTTTAAAAAATATATAAAATAAAGTTAAAAAAACAAAAAAAACTTTTCCTCTCAACATTATAAAAGGACTTGAGTTGAAGGACCAAATGTGACTTGATGATCCAAAATTGAAATTGTATTGTCTATGGTGTTATCTTATCATAGTTCCACACACTCATGACAATAGATCATGTCGCATGCAATAGTTAAAAATATCTTCAAATTCCATCTTATTTCAATGTACAAGCAATTGTATCTAATGTTTCCTTCTTACGATATTTTCAGCTGGTATCATCAAAGGCAATCTTCGTCCTGAAATTCCAAGCTGGTGTGACCCGGCATGGAGATTATTGATGGAGCGGTGTTGGTCATCTGATCCAGACTCTAGGCCAGCATTCTCAGAAATTGCAAAGGAATTGCGTGCCATGTCAGCAGCCGTGAACATCAAGTGATTGCAATTTGGTTGTGTAAATACTTTAGGAGCACAGAGAACGGGGCATTCTGAGACGTTGACAGATCTTGGCCGTCCAATGTCTTGTCTGATCTCAACATTAAACCCCTTGTATTAGGGAAAAGCCAAACCGGGTGAATATTTTATTTTGGCAGTCACTGGTTTGTAATAGCGCCACTGTATAGGATATAGAACAAACTTTTGGTATCAGGTTGTTTTTGATTCTTGTCATCGACTAACAGACAAGTCTTGAACAGCTTTTACCACAGACAATGCTAATTGACTTTTTTTTCACAGCATCATCTCTCTCCATTCCCCCCCCCCCCCAAGCGTGTTGAATCAAGTATGGTACTTTTGATACTGTTCCCCAGAAGAATCAGAGAAATTTCATATTGATGTTCTGCATTTTCGAAGGCTCGTTGCTATGGTTCGAGAGCATTAGCTATTGTATATATAAACTAACTTCATATACATGTCTGTGTGTGTCGATGCACATGGTGTTTTTTGGAAGTGAGAGATTGTTGTGTTCGAGCAAGTAACCTGCTCGGAAGTTGAATCTTTCAGTGGTGAGATGGGTGAAGACAAGTTGTGCAACTGCAGCAGGGTGGAGTGGAATTCTTACGAAAACACCCATATGGTCTGTCGAAGGAGAAAATAATGCTCTTTGAATTTATGAACCTTGAGTTCCCTAATTCCTCATGCTTCCTTTGGCCCTTTTTTTTTTTATTTTTTTTATTTTTTTTTATTTTTTGGGTGAAGGCAGAAAAAAGAACTTTATTCATTCAAGAAGGATAACAAAACACAATTTTAAGAAGATAAAAGTCCCATTTGGTGTCATTATTGTTAGTTAAAAGTAGCAAACGGAAAGTTGGATAGCATTAACATCAACCTCCCAACTTTCAAAAAATTCGCGTTATCCAAGGCTTGTTTTGGGAATTAGGAAAAAAATTAACTTATTGGCCTTTTTGATTTTTTTTAAAAAAAATATTAAAAAAAATAAAGAAGTGATATGACTCAAATAAATTAATAAGTCAATAAGATGACTTTTTTTCATATTCTAAAAAAAAATTCTTATTTAAGTCAAAATAGGTGAGGCCAAGTATGCATCTCCTAATTAGGCACATGTGGCACAATTGTATGGTCACATTACATCTTTGGCCAAGACAAATTAGATTTTAAAGTTTAAATTGTGTAAATCTTAGATTTGTAGAGAAAAAAAAAATACATGAATAGGTTTTTTTTTGAATTCTTACGAAAACACCCATATGGTCTGTCGAAGGAGAAAATAATGCTCTTTGAATTTATGAACCTTGAGTTCCCTAATTCCTCATGCTTCCTTTGGCCCTTTTTTTTTTTATTTTTTTTATTTTTTTTTATTTTTTGGGTGAAGGCAGAAAAAAGAACTTTATTCATTCAAGAAGGATAACAAAACACAATTTTAAGAAGATAAAAGTCCCATTTGGTGTCATTATTGTTAGTTAAAAGTAGCAAACGGAAAGTTGGATAGCATTAACATCAACCTCCCAACTTTCAAAAAATTCGCGTTATCCAAGGCTTGTTTTGGGAATTAGGAAAAAAATTAACTTATTGGCCTTTTTGATTTTTTTTAAAAAAAATATTAAAAAAAATAAAGAAGTGATATGACTCAAATAAATTAATAAGTCAATAAGATGACTTTTTTTCATATTCTAAAAAAAAATCCTTATTTAAGTCAAAATAGGTGAGGCCAAGTATGCATCTCCTAATTAGGCACATGTGGCACAATTGTATGGTCACATTACATCTTTGGCCGAGACAAATTAGATTTTAAAGTTTAAATTGTGTAAATCTTAGATTTGTAGAGAAAAAAAAAATATATGAATAGGTTTTTTTTTTTTTTTTTTGATGTTTCCGGCACACACCCGCCGGCTAGCTCACGTTTGTGTTTTCAGGTGATAAAGCGACGTCGTACGGAGAAGCGTGGACTTGGTCAACAGGATTATACGAGGAGAATTATTTCCTCCCCGTACAGCTTGTTTGCCGTTCTTGAGAGGGAAGGGAAGTGTTTGGGCTTTCTAGTTTTGGTTATTTTTAAGGATGAAATTAGCAAAATATACACTTTGCCCACTGGATTTTGTAGATAAGGAAAATAGAGATTGGGTTGTGTGAGGAGTGATTTTACAATATTTCTTCGTTCCAAATAGATTTTAGTTTGATTCTCGTTCCGGTGCCTGAAACAATAAACACTTTGGTCGGGAGTGTCAAAATTAGCACTCCGACGATTAAATCAGATTCTGAATGGATGAAAGAAGATAGGTTAGATGTTTAGGGAATGAAGTGAGTTTGGATCAATGTACACACATTCTCCTTCCATTTACCTTCCTTATATAGTGTTTTGGTATAGATATTTCTTACGTAATTTGACCTACTTGTCATAATCATCACAATGTCACAGTCCAAATTCCTATTACACTTCCGGAAAAGGATAGCCTGGGCCCAGTCCAGTACTCAGCATGAATGTCCGCAGTACTCCGCATGAATGTCCGCCGATTCTGTCAATATTACCTACTCAGCGTATCACCTGATCGGCGAAGAAGTTGCTCGGCGTTGAACTTCTGCAATCTAGTGGGCCTAGTTGGATTTGGGTCCATGATTGATGGACTTGGATGTGCTTTATTTGTCGAATGTGTAATTTTTATACTCGACTCACACAGATTATTTGTTGGCTCAGCCCAAACATCATTGAACAAAATGGGTCGTGATAGTAGGACTAGCCATGGGTTTGGACTCTAAGATCCTCATGGACTGGTTGTTGGATCAACTTATGGTGTGTTCTTGTAAAATACCAAGTTGTTGGTAAAAAGCAAGAACGGGTGGGGAGCTCACACAAGTCTATGACTCCCGTAGCGCCATTTTGAAATGTGGCCTACACAATTATAGGACTCTCGTGGCGCCTTTTTGAATTGTAGCTCACATATGACGAGCCATTTTGAAATGTGGCCCACACACAAGTGTAGGACTCCCATAGTGCCTTTCTAAATTATAGCTCACCCCCATGACGAAAGAAAAACAAAGGGAAACACCAAGCCCAACAACAGCCCACACGGACAAAACAAAAAAAAGACAACAACAAGGGAAAGAGAAATAAGTGGAGCCTTTGTCCCTTCAAAATTGAATTTTAAACTGACGTGATATTGTTAAATGCTTGTAATTAAAATCCTATGCGCCACTCATTTTTATAGAAAAGCTTAAGTTACATGTAATACTTCACAAATATACAATCTCACGGGATATTTTTTAATTACCAATGAAATTATATTAGTAATAAAAAACTTTATAACTTGAGTATCTTAATAATTAAACTTTTGTTCGGGGGATTTGAGTGAAAGTTTTAGAATAATCAAATAAGAATCTAGCTCAATTTATTGTGATAGACTAGACAGTTCAGTTGGGTCTATAAGACCCATCGCAAACCCCACCTTGATAATTTAATATGTTTATTTTGTATGCCCTTTGTATAGATCATCAAAAAAAAAAACATATTAAATTAATCTTTTAATTGTAATCGCATTATTTCAGTATCATCGAGTTAAAAGTAGAGTTTTTTGTTTTTATTTTTTTTATACAAAATAATAGTCACTCTGTTAAGATGAGACCTTAATTAATGAAAAAGATATGTATGAATTAACAGAAAATATTGTGAACCTCCAATTTTGAACTCCCAAACCAACTCTAATTGATGTGTCATAAATCATATCACTTGAAAATCTCACAAAAACATAAAATTGTCCAATACAGTATTTGTCATATCATTAAGATCCAAAATACGAGATGTATCATTACTCATCAATTAACGTTGTTGGATACGAAAAGGTCACGAAAGTGATTAAGTGGTCTTTTGAAAAGTTTGTAAAAAATTAATTTTTTGATTTTTTTTAGTTTGTTTTATCTTTTTATGGGTAAAAAATATGAAATGTGATGTGATCCAAAATGGGTAAAAAATTAAAAGCTAGCTTTTTTTTTGTGCTTTCCAAAAGGCCCCTCAATTTAATATAAATAAAAAGGTGTCAAATTAAGATATAGTTACTAGCTAAGAATAATCTTTATTGGGGACACTATATGGGACATGGGATTACTGTTGTGCCTTTAGAACAACAATAACTATTGTGCTTCAATTTGAGATTTTATTATGGGTTTATTTTTATAATTGAAACTGTTCATTTTGTAAATTCATTGAGTACTTCATGCCTACTAAAATATTATATTAATCAAATATTAATAACTATGTGATCGGATTACATATTTTTTATGCTATTTCTCAAAAGAAAACTATTTGTTTATTTTTTTATGATAAATGTAATTCGATCATATAATTATTTCTATCTGATTAATATGATTTTTGGTAGACATAAAGTACTCAACGAACCCTACAACATAAAATGTTCAGATCATAAAAATAAGTCCATAATAAATCTCAAATTGAGGCACAACAGTAACCCTTCATCCCACTCTGTGAGGGTGTTTGCAAAGTTGTTATTTTAATAAGAAATTTTAGTTTTTTATTTTAGTAGATTGAAATTTTTGTGTTTGGGAAAATAGATTTTTTTGTAGTTGAGTGAGATGTTTGTGAAAGAAAAAATAAAATGATTATGAATTTTATGTAACATTTTGTCTTATCAATTATTTTAACTTATTTTATCTTTTCATAGATTTTAATCAAAAAACAGCTAAAATCTAATTTGCCAAAACACCCTTAAATATTACACCTCTAGGATTAAGGTACACGGCATCACTATATTTAGGGGTTAATTGGAAAGTATTATATTAATATATATTTTAATTTTTTATTAAAAAATATAAAATATGAATTAAGTTTATAGTGATATTAAAAAAAATCATAATAATTTAAATAAAATAATATATATTATTTTAACACAGGCTAAATAAAGCCTTCGATTTGTGCTGGTTGGCAATTTTTTTTCTTAGGAACTTTAATCAGAGTGTCCCCCAATTAACCAACCCGACAACTTCTCTTACCAGCGAGGCACCAACTTTGACTTTACACCCCAGCAGAGTTGATACTAAGGCTTCGTTTGACAATTAACTTTTTATTAAAATCGGGGACGTAGTGTAACTCGTGTTAGGTACAGAATTTTATAAATTAAAAAAAATTATTATAAATATGTTGAAATAATTTAATATTTTATCTTGTAATATATATGAAATTTATAAATAAATTTTAATGTTTATAATTTTTTAAATTATTAGTTTAAAAAAATTAAAATATATATATACATAAATTTATTTAGTATAATTTTGATAATTTGTAATAAAAAAAGTTAAATCTAATTAAATAAGGTTACATGAGTTATGATACACTACAAGAAATTAAGGTTTTAAAGACAAATTTTTAGAGACAAAAATAATTTGTCCGTAAAAATTGTATTTTTAGAGACAAAATGAAAGAATTTAAAAATAAAATAAAACAATCATATTATTATATTCTTAAGACAAAATTATTTGGTTGCAAAAGAGTTAATGACTTTTTGCCTACAATTTTGATTAGTTCCCAATAAACTCAACTCATACATTATTTTATTTTATTTTCATTCTTTCAATTTCAATAGTTGGGACTTCATTTCCTTCTCCACACCAATCTCTCTCTCTCTCTCTCTCTCTCTCTTTCTCTCTATCAAAGCCCTAATTTCATTGTTCTCGGTGGTTTTTTGATTTCAATCCCTCTCTCTCGCGATCGAATCCCTGATGGCTGTGAGCACAAACTGATCGTAGTGTTCTTCTGATCTCATTGATTTCAACAATTAAGGGATAACATAGCATCTCTCTCCACTGTGATTTCAGCATCCAGGTTCGATCGATTAATCGATTTCAGTCTCATTGATTTGGTTTTTGATTCAAGCATCTAGTGTGATTAATCGATTTATTGGTGCAGTGTTTGTGTTGATGATGTATTATCATAATGGTGATTCGTTTTTTAAATTTCATTTTTTGAGTGCTTAGATTTGTGATGTGGATATGATACTCCCGTAATTGTGGAGAGAAACAAAGCAAATTTATTATTTGTGAAGTGTTTTGATTCATTTCTGCATTTCGTCACAAAATTATATTTGTGAGTGTTTGATTCAAATTACTTCATTTGAAAGTAATATTGAATTTCCTGAATTTGTCTTAGTCTTAATCATAATAATTCAACGGCTCTGTTTGGTTGAGCAGTTTTCAAAATCTGATTTTAGTTGGGTGAAATACAAAATTATCTTATAATAGCATGTATTATCTTATTTGCCACAAGTTCTCAGCGAAGTTTAAATGGATATATTTTGAGTTCATTTGATTCCTGTTTCGTGTTGGACAGTTGTCTATCTTTTCCACAGGAGGGTGGACAAACTTGAAACTTGTGGTACCTTGTTGTGTTGTTGTCAGGACTACACCAATGACATCAGGTAGACTCCAAGAAAGAGGGTCGGGTTTGTCTATCAATTGGGGGGGTAGTTTTTTTTTGTCAAATAAACACTGTTGAGTAGATTAGGAATTTAAATTGGTTTGCTTCAAAACTTGTTTCCTAGTTTGGCAGTGGGAATTTATAAATGTGTTAATCAAGAAGACAAATGTTGCCCCCATTAACTCTACCAATTCCTCTTTGCATATATTTATACAAAGGCTAAAGTTAGTGTTGATGTCTCACTTTTTAGATTTTTTAAAAAATATCCCAATAGTAATTACACGAGTAGTTATGCCATTATTTTTTTTTTTTCAAACCTCATAACTGTTAGTCTTTTTAATTCATAAAATGTATCAATTTTCAAATTTTGATAATTCAATCATACGTTTCAAAATCTTATTTCTCTGGGGAAAAAAAAAATTGATCATGTGCAAACTAATTTGTGTGCCATCACATAATATTTTATCTACTGTTTTATTGAGAGATTAATTTAATAGTCAATTGTTCATTTTCAACTGTTGCGCCTCTGAAGAAGCTAAGACATCCTGTTGTTGCTTATTTCTAATCCTGGGTCAGTTGGGAGTAGATCACTGAATATTTGAATATTGAGGTTTATATGTTGTTATATTTTTATTTGCATATGGTGGTTGCCCTGGCAGAATCTTTCATCTTTATTCCATTTCTCTATACATATTTCACAATTCCAATCTTGTCCTCTACTTCCAGGCATGATCTGTTGTTATCTTCTGATAAAGAATTCCTGCTATTGCTTGTTTTTGACTTTTTTTTGAACTTTTGTATCATGAAACTCATTTGCTGTTGAGTTTGAAGATCAACATTTTGAGGGCTAAATGTGCACTTTCTTATTCATGGGGTAGCTTATTTCGTTGCCTCATAACTCTGAACATCATTAAAGCCTTAGCAATAATCGTTAGTTAATTTGGATCTATTTTATTACCTAGATATTTAATTGGGGTCTGAAATTTTCAATTTTATTTATTTTTAAGCTTCAGGCAATCAAGGATGGTAAAGAGAACTCATATGTATTGTATATTGTATAAGCTCAAAGGCCTATTTATGAAGTTCTTAAAAAATTTTGTAGTATCAATATGTGAATTATTGTTTTAGGTTCGTTTGGTAAAATATCTACTAAATTGAACAGGCTAGGGAAGAAGCAAGATACATGTTTTGCAAGTAGATTAAAATAGATTTTGATTAAAAATGAGGATGTGAGAGAACAGTGAAAACTGTATATGAAAGAAAGTTCTACAATATCCTATTTTGTGGAGAATGGAGCCGTAGTGGTATTGCAGAGGCATTAGGCACATCATCCTAATATCCTCATTCATCTATCAGACCTCACTGGGGATTTTTTACTGGTTCTAATCTGTAATTTCAGGCTAGTACCTAACCATTTCTTATACTATGCCTTTTGGTGACTGCTCTAGCAACTAGCCATTGGATGAACAACTGCTGCCTAATAGTTCTAGATTTTACCAAAGCTTTATCCATTTCATGTTTTTTTTTTTTCTTTTTTAAATCCATTTCATGTTGCTTAGCACAAGTTCAAGCTAAAATCTTGTTTTTTGTTTTTCTTTTCTTGAATATTTATCTAGAGAACAACAGGGGTTAGACATAGTCTTAGACTCTATTTTTAGATCATGAATTTATATTGAGAGAAAGTCAGAAAGCCCTTGCAAGAAAGATACATTAAACTTGAAAGTCAGTTTTGTGAAAGATTGCCTCACAAACTATCACTGAAAATCATTAAGAAAATCTCAAAAAATCTTGCTACCAAAGGTTCCAAATTTTCAAAAGCCTAAGAAGATGAGGACTCATTTTGATGTTTAGGCTGTGGTCTCAAAAATCTTGGGCCGATATTGGTGAGCCGTGGTTTTGTAGGTGGGGTTGGAGTTTTAACAGATCCGCTATTGAAGAAGGATCTTGCCCGATGTCTGATGAGCAACTTTCTATTGAGGTATTTGGACAAAAAGTTGGCTACATACGCGGCTTAGGGCGTGGTCGAAAACCAAGTACAACATTATCTGGAAAACTTACCCGTGCCCAACTCGAGAGGGATAATGAGGCTGCTACAAGGGAGGCTGAAGAGCAACGAAGAATCAATGAGGAGCTGGTGGGAAGAATTCAAATCTTGGAGTCTGATCGCACGGAATACAATGCCAAAGTCGACTTCTTGATGCAGCAGATCAGTCGAAGAGTACCCTCTACTGATTCTTCTTCTTAGTAAGTCATCTTTTCAGAATGTTTGAGTAATTGATATTTGTTTCATTCAATAATATGATGAATCTTAGGATATTAGTGTGATTGGATTGCATGTATATGCTAGTACAGGTTATACATCACTGTGCTTTTAGTATCTTCTGAATTGTTTTCTTCAAGGCAGCAGCACCTGATCTGGGTCCCTTTTGATTGTTTGTGTTAAATCTGAACTGAGTTTTTATAAGTAGACAGAATTTTTTTGAAGAACGTATCACATGAGAGACAAACAGTTGGGTGCATTTGTGTGAGGCCCACATGTATCTCACGTGGGAGTGTGGCAGGCGATTTAGAACAATATTCTCCTTTTTGTCTATATATATATTTGCATAATTACACTTTTCATAGGAGTTATTCCTTTTACTTACTGTTCTACAAGGAATTGTTTTCACTGGAGTAATGTTTGTAATTGAACTTCAGATACTACAATCGGCACATTAAATTGCAATTTATTAAATTAATCTATTATTGGATAATTTTTAATTGGTAATCTATTTGAGAGTTTGGCCTATTCTATGCAGGTCCTGCAAGCTTGCGTTGATTTAAAGCTTGGGAGCTCTCTGCTAGATTTTGAATGTCATTTTAACGAAACCATTGAGAAGAAGATGTGATGAGTTGAGTTGAGTTGAGTTGTTTTGTTATGTAGGTAGATATAATTCTAATAACAATCTGTTCATTGAACAGTTGAATGCTATAAACAATGCTTATAACACTAGCCTTATAAATTGGAAATGATACTTTTGAAATCTCTGTCATATATACAATCAAGATATTACGTACTAATGAATTAGAGCATGGTATTTGTTTGTTATTGAATGCGATGAGTTTTTTTTTTTTTTTTTGTAGTTGAATTTTAATTTGGAGATGAACAGATAGTCTGGTGATATGTTTCATATTTTCTGTTTGGTTGTTGAGAAATCAAGAAAGAAATATAAGTTGATGTTCATACTAGTATTTTTAGAGTAATTGTTACAAAAAATAAATAAATAAATAAATAAATAAAATAAAAATATCAAACTTTTAGAGACCAATTTTAGTTGTCTCAAAAAAATTATAACCTTTACACACCACTTTCATTTGTTCCAAAAACTAAAACTTTTGGAGACCACTTTCATTTGTCCCAAAAACTAAACTTTTAGAGACCAATTTCTATTGTCTCAAAAATTAATTTTTGTCTGGATTATAATTCGACTTTTAAAGACAAATTTTGGTGGTCTCAAAATCAAAACTTTTTGCAGCCATATATTTTTGTCTCTAAACGTCTATTTATAGTGACAAATGAAAAATTTTGTCTCTAAAAGCCATTTTTTGACTTTTCCGAACGGCCCATTTGGAACAAACTTCGCAATGGAGAAAATTGGTTGGCAAAAGTTTTTCCCAACAAATATTACACTATTAGGGATGGAATAAATTTGTCCCTAAAAAGTTGATTTCTAGTAGTGATATATCTCTTCTGTTATGAAAATAGACAAATTAAAAAAATATAATTAAGACAAATATATAATTTTATTATTAAATGTGAAGTGAAGTGATATTTAACAATAATTGATATGATATTTTAGTTATTAATCCAATAATTTAAGTGACATTTCTTTTGGTTTTAATTTCATAACTAAAAATACAATATGAATATAACACGCACACGAATTTTTAGTCTTTAAGAATAAAAATTTTTTAGAATATTTCTAACATTTCATCATTTTCTTTTAATTTTTTTTTATCTAATTTATTTTAAATTTGAATAAAAAATTTGATTTGATATGAATTACTTTAACTTTTTTCATTAAATTTTTATCAATTTTTAAAAGAACTTCCATTCTTATCCCAATTTTTTTTCCCCGTCAATTTTGATGAAAAAAAACAATAATTTCCAACACTTCATTTTTTTAAATTTTTATCAAATTATAGTTCGATAAAAAAATATATTAAGGATTGAAAATTCTCTTAATTGGAATTATATTGACACTTATGATCACACTATTATAAGTCAGTTTATGGAAAAAATTTTGAGGTGTCAAACATTTTTCATTTGTAAATATCCTACTTATTAAAAAAAGAAAAAATAAAAGAAAAAAAAATGTGTATCTTTTGGATATGTATTTATCAATTTTGTTTTGTGGATGTTTAAATTTAACAAATTAAAAAGTATAAAAAAAAAATAGATTGGCTTTTTTGGGGTTAAAAGAAGCCATCTAACTCCTCTATGTACTATTTTAAGATAGACTATTTTAATCACATAAAAAATAAAAATATTTAAAAGTTTTAAATTTACCTAGTTATGCAAAAATCTAATGTTATAGTACAATCTTGAATTCCCAATAATTTTTCACATTTTCTATAAAATAAAATGACAATATAAAATAAAAAATTCGATACCCATTTTTTTTTCTTCAATTGTAGGGTTTTCATTGAAAAAAAAAAGATTCGATCAAAATTCTTGATACAGAATCGACATAGATACTTCAATTGCAACCATCGTCACCAATAATTCTTCTACACCACGTTAACCTGTAAACAAACACATAAATCTCTTTAAAACCGAAACAAAAACCAAACCAACAACAGAGAAAGAATCACACAAGGAAAAAAATAAAATTAAAAAATAAATAAATTTATGGAGTGGTAGGATATTACTCCCCCAATAACTTAGATCTCGCACCGCCTAATCCTTCAGTTCCTCCGCTAATGCCAACAAAGTTTAGGAGTTGGGATGACTAATCAGATTATTCTTCAAATAAGACTTAAAAATTGATTAATTTGTCTCATTAAGTGATTTAAAATTTTGATAGATATACATCAAAAAAAAATAATTATATTATTAAATCATACTTTAAATTTAGATATTGTCATATATTTTTGAGATCTATATCTAAATTCTTATCTTATTTATTTTTGTATGGTTTCTATCTATTTATTTATTTATTTTCAATTTATTTAAGATTGAGTTGTGGATTTCTATTTTTTTTAATTTAATTTATCTATGGTTTCTATTTGTTTTTAATTATTATTATTTAGGTAAGTCATAATGTGAGTTATGCATATGATAGACATGTGAGTTTTATTGATTTAAAATATGATGGTGTAAGATATTTTCAAATTAGATTTATTTAGATAGACTTTAAAGATTTTTAAAATTTAAAATTAGATATTGAGAGGCAAAAGAAAGATTTTAACTGAATAAATAAAAATCGTATTTATTAATTTTACCTATTTGCATATCTGATTTTTAATTTTTTTTTTTTTGGGTTATGTTATAATATAATATATAAGATATAAATAGATAACCACAATTCTCATGAAAAATATTATATGATTTTTTTAGGAAGAAAAAAGAAAGGCAAGTTTTAATATTTTCTTTTAGAAATCAATAAGAGAAATTACAATGGAGAGATTATGAAATATTTTTGTTATCTTTCCATTTGAAATCCATAAATTAAGGAATAATTATTATTTTCAAAATAATTAAATAAGTATGGGAGAAGTTAAAAATGGGGGATAATTATTGTTTCAAAAATAATTAAATAGGTATGAGAGAAGTTGAAAATGGGGAATAATTATTATTTTCAAAATAATTAAATAGGTATGAGAGAAGTTGAAAAATGTGTGTATGGGAGAAGTCAATAAGTGTTGAGTTTTTTTTTTTTTAAATAAAAAAATTAAGAAATTAAGATTGAGGTATTGGAACTCCTACAAGACTTGTGAGTTAGAAACTCATTTTTCCTTATATAATATATAGATAGATAGAAGAGATAAGATGGGTTAAATAAATTAATAAAATATTATATTATATTTAAATTATAATTATTTTAAAAATTTTAAAAAAACAAAATAAATAAAATTTTAATTTGAAACTAAAATAATTTTAAAAAATTAAAAAGATAACTAAAAAATTTATTGTCAAAGGACATCTAACTTTAATTTTGCATGCATTTGAGTTGGCAAATATTCATCTAAGTCACTGAATTCGTCCCTCAATCGGGTTATTTTTTTCACACAATTTTATTGAAGTAATTTCTCTCTAATTGAGTTGTAAATTTATAAATTCACATGCAATTTATTAGTTAAAAATAGAGAGAAACACTATGGTGCACATCCTTCAAAGTGTGTGTACTATATGTACCTTATATCTAAAAAGAAAAATAATATAATTTTAATTTTTTGAGTCATAATTAAAAAAATATCATAACCACGTAAAAAATGTCATAACCAAATGTAACATGATGTATAATTAAAGAATTCATAAATCATAATTAAAATAATGTCATAACTAAAAAGAAAATTGATCATAATTAGAGAAGAAAATAAGAAAATTAGGGGTGCATATTGTGTGAGTAGATTTCTAACCACACTGCCAAATTAGTATTTAACTGGAGAACACTGGTAGAATAGATAACGCCTGAATGACCTGTAACAGAAAGATGAGATTCCGGCGGTGATTCGTCCACCCGGAGGCACTCCGACGATCAAATCAGTTATCTCTCAAAGATAGCAAAAGTGTTTAACTCACTATTCAGAATATAAAAAGCGTACCTTAGACCCATGGGGGTGACTCTCTTTTATAATCATCACAAACCTAATCCCAATAGAAGCCTAGTTTCAATGGACTTTGCATTACTGCTAATCTTGGACTCCCAGTAGGATTGGGATAAACTCTGTAAGAGTTTTATCTTTATCCAAATTGAAGCCTTTTCTCGTTCTAAAACTCTTGTCCCTTATCCGCTTTTCCCGGACTCCAGTATCTTCGAAGATAACCTCGGCCTAACCGAGATCACCTCGGCGTCATGATCAGGACATGTGGCATCTCTGCTAACACTTCGGTGCCACCTCGGCCACGTGTTGCCATTCAAAAATTATGTCCTCACAACTGCCCCCTAGGTTCTATTACCTCGGCATACTGAGGTGATGGAACCTATATCTTTTGATCTCATAGCACATCGGCTAAGCTAACTCCATTATTTATTGCCGAAGTCAAGACTTATCGACTCAATATGACTAAGATCTGTAATCCGTTTTTCTCAAAATGCCTTTAGAGCAAATAATCAAGTCAGTTTAAATTATTTAGTCGGGATCATCCTCCTAGCGGAGGTCTTTGCTTTACTAAATCAAGAACTCCAAGAGTTTTATCACGCGTGTGAGCTGTCACGCACAATATTTCAACCGTTTCTGCCATGCGTCTTTTCCCTACTGAGATATACCTGACACGGGTCATCAAGTCGCATCACTCGTGCATGCACCGTCTGACAGGCACGTCGCCCTAGGCACATTGATTGTAATTTTTACCGCCATTCTCCACGTTTGATCAAAATCAACCCTCTCTCTCCGTTTCTTCACTTTTTCGCCATCATCTTCGTGCAAACTTCCAAATCCGCCTTTGTTGCTCTCGCGAAGCTTTCTACAACCACCTTTATTCTCCCCTACCGGCGAGGCTTTTGCTGTACTTCTTTGCTCTCTGCCACCGTCCGACACCGGCGTATTCTACACTGGCATCATTTTCTTCGGTCAGTCACTATTCCTTCCTTCGTTTCAATTTCTTGTTTCACATTTTATTGCCTCTGCTTATTAGTCATGTTTAAACATATTCATATGCCCCCATTCTTGTCTGTGCTTCAAATTTCCCCCTTTGTATGCTTAAATCATACTATGTTTCACCTGTTTCTGGGTACACACATGTATCCACACACTTTGCTTAATTTGCCACTGTTCTTGGCCTTGCACCCTTGCACACACTTTGTCACAGTGTTCTTGATAGAGCATCATCATTCTTGATTCTGAATCTTTGTTTT